GGAGGCTGGGATTGGAGAAGAAACAATTCAATGTCATGTACAAGGGACTGAGGTGGGAGTAATAAAATCCTCTAGTGAAAGGAGTAGAGGGGATGGGAACACCTGACAGGTGGCGAGGATTGGAGTAGAAACATTGTCTAGTAAACGGGCCACCATACCTAGGTATATAACATATCCCATCTTCATACCCATGCCAGGAATCATTGTCTTGTGAAGGGGCTGGGATGGGAGAAATAACATTGTCTTGTAAACGGGCTATAGCTACCATACCTAGGTAAAAACATCTCCCCTCTTCATACTCAGAATGTAGGAGGTCAGGGTGGAAGTAAAAACATTGTCTAGTATAAGTGGAAGGAAAAGGAATAGAAACATTGTGTCAAGTACAAGGGGACTTGTCACACAGCAATTCAAGCAGCTATGTAGGATGAAATATTAATAATATCATAGAGGACAGAATATTATTAAGATCATAGAGGGATGCTAAGCGGAAATAAAGGTAGCTTTATACTGTTGACTGATTGTATAAACATGAAGCGCTGTTTGTATGCTAAACAAGGTAAGCAGTGGAGCCTGAGGCTTCGCATGGTGTATAATGCGGCCGGCCACTGATCTTGTCCCTATAATATTAAAGGATAAGGTTGTTTGCCCCAAGGATATAATCATCCAGCCTGTATATATAAAAAGGCTGATCTTGATCAAATTTTGACAGGCTTGATTTAAACATTTGGCCTTTTATCTGTTATTCATGACACCTGGGCCTTTGGATTCATTTAAATGCAAATTACGGAAGGTTTTATAGAAATGATGATGGATGGACATCCACCTGAAATCTTCATGTTTTTGATCGTGTGCAATCACTAATGTAAATTAAAGAAGATCGTAAAATATGCGACCCCAGGTACAACAAAGCAGACCCGAACACACAATTTCTCTATTGTTGTAATTACCTAGTACATGTGGGTCAGTATTAAGCATTTTGAATAGATTCTTTAACCCCCTCATCTTGTTGAACTAAATTTTGGACATATTAAAATTTGTCATGACATGAAAATACATGTTGACAATGCAGTGATTTTTGGAATACAAGATATTTTGGTCCTGGACTTGTACTCCTGCTTTTCCTGAGGAACTGAACCAAATTTTCAGAACCCACTATATCGGTATAGTAAATAGTAAATAATGGGACTTAAAAACATTTTGAAAAAACTCCCCTGAAAAAATCATAACACAATCACTGATGACATAATATTTAATTGTTTGAATAAATAGTTAACAAAGGATTCCTTCAAATTGAAAATATTCTATATATTATATACATATAGGCTTACAGTGTTGTATGAAACATGCATGAGATTAATATTTTTGCATTTATCGGTGATGAGGCATGTACAAACTTGAAATGCATGTGAAACCTGCCTAATCCGACACATTCTCCTCGGACCTTCTGTCATATTCCACATACAACAGTAATCTCTTTTCTTACAAAAACTTCTCTATCAAATATAAACCTGTGTATTCTGACATTCTGTGTAATCCAACCCAATGTGTCCAACAGGATGTCACATTAGATGGGGTTTACTGTTTTTGTATTCGTATTGTGCACAGAATCATTCCTTACTGTTGTCCTGATTTGTACATGTGGTGAAAAATATTTACACAAAGTTTCAATAAAAAATGTAGTGTTAAGTATATGTGAGGCAAAAATTTGAAATAAGAAACAATAGAAAGTGAGATGGGGTGGCCACCGGTGCATGTACATATATACCTGTAAAGGGGAGCCCCCCCCCCCCCGCTTTCTAGGGGCCAGCTATTTGTAGCTAGGTAACCTGGGGAGGGGGATATTCTGTGGTCCAAGTCTCTTGATGTTATCACAAGTAAAATGAGGTATATAGGTTTACTTGTATGTAAAATGTACATGTCAACAATCAAAGCTTGTAAAATAGACTTAAATGATGATGAGTGGGACAATAGACTACTGTATAAGCTGTCCTCTGTTGTATAATAGACTACTGTATAACCTGTCCTCTGTTGTATAATAGACTACTGTATAACCTGTCCTCTGTTGTATAATAGACTACTGTATAACCTGTCCTCTGTTGTATAATAGACTACTGTATAACCTGTCCTCTGTTGTATAATAGACTACTGTATAACCTGTCCTCTGTTGTATAATAGACTACTGTATAACCTGTCCTCTGTTGTATAATAGACTACTGTATAACCTGTCCTCTGTTGTATAATAGACTACTGTATAACCTGTCCTCTGTTGTATAATAGACTACTGTATAACCTGTCCTCTGTTGTATAATAGACTACTGTATAACCTGTCCTCTGTTGTATAATAGACTACTGTATAACCTGTCCTCTGTTGTATAATAGACTACTGTATAACCTGTCCTCTGTTGTATAATAGACTACTGTATAACCTGTCCTCTGTTGTATAATAGACTACTGTATAACCTGTCCTCTGTTGTATAATAGACTACTGTATAACCTGTCCTCTGTTGTATAATAGACTACTGTATAACCTGTCCTCTGTTGTATAATAGACTACTGTATAACCTGTCCTCTGTTGTATAATAGACTACTGTATAACCTGTCCTCTGTTGTATAATAGACTACTGTATAACCTGTCCTCTGTTGTATAATAGACTACTGTATAACCTGTCCTCTGTTGTATAATAGACTACTGTATAACCTGTCCTCTGTTGTATAATAGACTACTGTATAACCTGTCCTCTGTTGTATAATAGACTACTGTATAACCTGTCCTCTGTTGTATAATAGACTACTGTATAACCTGTCCTCTGTTGTATAATAGACTACTGTATAACCTGTCCTCTGTTGTATAATAGACTACTGTATAACCTGTCCTCTGTTGTATAATAGACTACTGTATAACCTGTCCTCTGTTGTATAATAGACTACTGTATAACCTGTCCTCTGTTGTATAATAGACTACTGTATAACCTGTCCTCTGTTGTATAATAGACTACTGTATAACCTGTCCTCTGTTGTATAATAGACTACTGTATAACCTGTCCTCTGTTGTATAATAGACTACTGTATAACCTGTCCTCTGTTGTATAATAGACTACTGTATAACCTGTCCTCTGTTGTATAATAGACTACTGTATAACCTGTCCTCTGTTGTATAATAGACTACTGTATAACCTGTCCTCTGTTGTATAATAGACTACTGTATAACCTGTCCTCTGTTGTATAATAGACTACTGTATAACCTGTCCTCTGTTGTATAATAGACTACTGTATAACCTGTCCTCTGTTGTATAATAGACTACTGTATAACCTGTCCTCTGTTGTATAATAGACTACTGTATAACCTGTCCTCTGTTGTATAATAGACTACTGTATAACCTGTCCTCTGTTGTATAATAGACTACTGTATAACCTGTCCTCTGTTGTATAATAGACTACTGTATAACCTGTCCTCTGTTGTATAATAGACTACTGTATAACCTGTCCTCTGTTGTATAATAGACTACTGTATAACCTGTCCTCTGTTGTATAATAGACTACTGTATAACCTGTCCTCTGTTGTATAATAGACTACTGTATAACCTGTCCTCTGTTGTATAATAGACTACTGTATAACCTGTCCTCTGTTGTATAATAGACTACTGTATAACCTGTCCTCTGTTGTATAATAGACTACTGTATAACCTGTCCTCTGTTGTATAATAGACTACTGTATAACCTGTCCTCTGTTGTATAATAGACTACTGTATAACCTGTCCTCTGCTGTATAATAGACTACTGTATAACCTGTCCTCTGCTGTATAAAAGACTACTGTATAACCTGTCCTATGTTGTATAATAGATTACTGTATAACCTCTCCTCTGTTGTATAAAAGACTACTGTATAACCTGTCCTCGGTTGTATAATAGACTACTGTATAATCTGTCCTCTGTTGTATAATAGACTACTGTATAATCTGTCCTCTGTTGTATAAAAGACTACTGTATAACCCGTCCTTTGTTGTATAAAAGACTACTGTATAAACTGTCCTTTGTTGTATAAAAGACTACTGTATAACCTGTCCTTTGTTGTATAAAAGACTACTGTATAACCCGTCCTTTGTTGTATAAAAGACTACTGTATAACCCGTCCTTTGTTGTATAAAAGACTACTGTATAACCCGTCCTTTGTTGTATAAAAGACTACTGTATAAACTGTCCTTTGTTGTATAAAAGACTACTGTATAACCCGTCCTCTGTTGTATAAAAGACTACTGTATAACCCGTCCTCTGTTGTATAAAAGACTACTGTATAACCTGTCCTTGGTTGTATAAAAGACTACTGTATAACCTGTCCTCGGTTGTATAATAGACTACTGTATAATCTGTCCTCTGTTGAATAAAAGACTACTGTATATCCTGTCCTCTGTTGTATAAAAGACTACTGTATAACCCGTCCTTTGTTGTATAAAAGACTACTGTATAACCTGTCCTTGGTTGTATAAAAGACTACTGTATAACCTGTCCTCTGCTGTATAAAAGACTACTGTATAACCTGTCCTATGTTGTATAATAGATTACTGTATAACCTCTCCTCTGTTGTATAAAAGACTACTGTATAACCTGTCCTTGGTTGTATAAAAGACTACTGTATAACCTGTCCTCGGTTGTATAATAGACTACTGTATAATCTGTCCTCTTTTGTATAAAAGACTACTGTATAACCTGTCCTCTGCTGTATAAAAGACTACTGTATAACCTGTCCTATGTTGTATAATAGATTACTGTATAACCTCTCCTCTGTTGTATAAAAGACTACTGTATAACCTGTCCTCGGTTGTATAATAGACTACTGTATAATCTGTCCTCTTTTGTATAAAAGACTACTGTATAACCTGTCCTTTGTTGTATAAAAGACTACTGTCTAAACTGTCCTCTGTTGTATAATAGACTACTGTATAATCTGTGCTCTGTTGTATAAAAGACTACTGTATAACCTGTCCTTTGTTGTATAATTTCAGGCCATCTATGACAACCTGAAGTACGAAGATGAGCAGGCCAATCCTCAGAAGAAGCTGGACTATGTAAGTTTGAGTATATAGAGTTCTGTAAACAGAATTATTTTAGTTGTACAACTGTAATAATAATTCAATGATATAAATATAAGGCGTCCATCACTTCAGGAATAATATATATATTGGCCTTAATAATATTTGAGTGCTGTGTGAAGGCATATTATTTTAGCACTTTCATATAGGGACAGATTTGAAAGTGCTTAATGAATGATAACAGTGAAATATAAAATCGCTTCATGCATGTTATAGACACTGTATACATAATGATAAATCATAATCTGTATAGAAGTTTAACATGTCGGAATGACAAAATATGAGTGCTCTTATAATGTAAGTATACTTTACTGTTTATAATTAACTGCACACCAGGACATGATTAACATTTATATACAAGCTAGTTACACTTAGAAATGATTGCTGTATTAAATGTTTATTTCTATCGTTTAACTCGTTAGATATTATTCCAGACTTACATATATAAATACAACTTATAGTGAGTCGACGTATGAAATTTAAAGCTCATTTTTTCACTGCCTTGATTTTCGTAGTACCTTTGTTAAAGTTCTAGCAATTGACAGTGATCGTCTAAAATGTAGAATTAAAAATTGTCCTGAATGGTTAACAAAATTAACACATGTGTTATATTGAATGGAAGATTTATTTAGTTCATGGGAGATTAGCTATGTAAAATAAAGTTAAGATAATTTCCAATTAAGACTATTTTGAATTTTCCTTACATTATTCTAGTGGTGTACAAATGTACTTCAGTATATATACAGGTATAAGCTGGTATTTTAACAAGTTTTATGCATGCCATATAACCTCAAAGATGAAGTCAAATACTTGACTTTTTTATTTAATGAAAATCATTTGGAGTATATTTTATTTACACTGCCACCATTTGTCTAGAGAATTTTTGGCAATAAATTGAGGGAAATATATATGTAATATAATTCTTAAGGAAACAAAAGAAGAAGGGACATTGAAATATGTTTGTGGTAAGTGGGGTGGCAAATGAACGAGGGGCATTATATCAAGGTTTTACTTTATTTTGATGATGTTCTTTTTTTCTGTTGTGATGACATATAAGAATTTCCAGATAAATGTATAAGTCAGGACCATATGTGTCCATACAGAAACAGATGTAATATGTTGCCTACTTTGTGTCACAGGTCACAGACCGGCTGGCAGCGCGGTTCAAGAACTATCTACAGGTTCTCAACACCAATAAGATCACAGCACAGAACCTGTACATGTTCCATGTGAAACAGCCAATCACAAAGAAGATCAGCTGCTGTCATCTTCCTCCGATGGAATTCAGGTGAGAATTTACGTGTAGACACAAATTCTTTCTTCACTAGTGTACCTGTAGTTAAGCACAGATCTCTACCTATAGATACAAACTCTTTTCACTAAATTAGGATAGAGCTATGTATAGGTATACAAGAAACATGTTTACAACTTACACAAGAGAAAGTACATTTATAATTAAGTATGCCCATTGTTATTATCACACTTTCGTGTACAACCTTTTGATTTCCATATGCAAATTTATATTATACTGTTAGTCACTTTGATTTTAAATGGGGATCATTTCTGTTTTAAGGCCTTTACAGATAATACTATTATTAAGGTATTATATCGGTCATATTGAAAATCCTGAGGAATAAAGATAGGGGAGAACCCAATAAATGTTATATTTTGGTCAAGAGGGGATGTAGAGTTACTCTCCGTGGTATGGATCAAACACCATTTTCACTTGCAGGTGTATTTATGATTTTTTAAATGGAAATGATGATTCTCCTGAAATATACTATCTTTCAAGTCAGTATTAGATCTATAGTATTGTAAATTATAATTTGATATTTTCATGTGATTTCAGTGAGCAAAGTCAGTATGGCTGTAAGATCTCAAAACGTACTAGCTGTGATTTATACCCAGAAAACCTGCCAAGAGGGGCATTTAACCCGGGACGAAATCTCACAGAAGGTAAGTCAGAAATTTATATCCTAATCTGTGGTGATGAACTCTCATGGAATGCGAACCTGAAATAAAATCTCACAAAAGGTAAGTGGTGAAATCGGCGATTTATATATCATTCTATATAATCCTTGATGAAATCTCACATAATGCTAACCCGAGGCAGAATTTCACCCAGGAATGTTAACCTGGGGTAAGTGAGGTCACTGGAGGTAAGTGGTCAGATCAGCAAATTATATAACCCAGAGTGAAATCTCACAAGATGCCTACCTAGGGTGAAAGTTTCACAAAAGATATGTGATCAAGTCAGCGATTTCTTTCTCGGCTTATAATCTCATGAAATGCTAAACTGACGAACAATCTCTCAAACGATAAGTGATCAAATCAACAATTTCTGTCATAACCCCGGAGAAATCTCACAGAATATTAAACCGAGGGGAAAATCTCACACATGGCAGATGTCAAGTCCGCAATTTCTATTATAATTGGTAATCTCGCGAAATGTTTTTGAAGCCTGAAGTTAAGTTCTGTGTCCTCTGCCATTTCTGTTATAAATCTGGGGCAAAAACTCATGGAAGGTGATAGGAATCTGAATTAAGATGATAACTTGCTGAAAAGTTAGTGCTGGAGTCAGCCTTTTCATTTAACTCGAAGTAAAATGATTTCAAAGATGAGCATAGGAAGAAGCGGTAAACATGATTGATAATCTCTTAACTTGGTAGTGGCATTGAAGTCTATTTATAAAGGTTTACTGTGGACATAAAACCAACATACAACATATTAGGTAACTTATATCATGGTTAACTCACAATCATTCCCTAATATCAGAATAGATGTGGTGTGAAGTTCTGAATTGTGTATCTTTTTTTATCCAAAGAAACTTAATAATTAGTTAACAGAATTATTGATGGGTTTTTCTCAAGAGCTTATTCATCATTTAATGCATAGAAAATCCAATCGCTAACTTAATAGAAGGGATTCTTTGAATACCAGGGCTAGAACTTTATTTTTAAAACCAGCAGTCAGTTGGGCTAGTTGCCTGAAATTTTGCTAGCCCAAATGAAAATTTCACTAGCCCATTTGGGCTAGTAAAATTAAAAACAGCTAGCCCGAAAAATTCCACAAATATTACAATGTTTTTTTTATAACTTTTGTGAAGCAGTGGTATCAAGTTATAACATATCCCTTAATAAAAACACCCTCCCGATCACTTATGTCATGCACTGTCCTGTGGAGTCCAACTCAAGCCATGGAAATTCCACTGGTTTTGAAACTTCCTTTCGCGTTTTGTTTCATATTTTGGTTTGGATATATGTCTTTTATTGTCCTTACCCTTTTCATCATCCACGTGATCATCCACTTTCCGCTTTCCCCCCTAGACGTTTGAAATACGGCTCCATGTTACTATGAACGCTTTCTCAATGTCGCAGTCAAAGACGACCATTTTCATTCATTAAAACGCGAACTTGACAAAGACTTACCATGTGCTGTACATCGGAATACTCAGACTTTATCGTTATCTTAATGCTTTCCGAACTCTCGGGCGCTAATATATACACACAGCAAAATGTCGTCGAGTGAAAACTGAAAGTGGGTGATTGTTTTTTTCAACAAAATATGATTAAATACAATTCAAAACCGGTGTGTGATCTTTACTATAGATATTGTCAGACGTGTGACTCGTGATTTCTACTAGCCCGACATTTTTACCAAGAAAAGTATAACAAGATTTCCATTAGTCAGTCGGGCTACCGGAATTTCAAACCACTAGCCCGGCTGGAGAATCTACTAGTCTCGGACTATCGGGCTACCCTTATGTTCGAGCCTTGAATACAGAAGTGACTACAGTCAAGTATAATATGTGTTCATCCTTATGAAACCATGCATAATAAAACGTTGTCCAATGTAGAAAACTACTGTCAGAAAAAAGTCATAGATCACAATAATTAGAACTGCAGAATAAGTTATTCTGTTGTGCCCTACCTTATTTGTTGTAAAAGAATACAATTTTTTTATGATTTAACACTTTAATGAAATTTAAGACTTTGTACAGCATTCCACTCAAAACCATTTTAATATGAAATCCGCAAATTTCAACCAATACACAATATGTGATAGCTAAGATCCACATTAAGTGGAATACTTCAGCCAAGATCTATTGAAGAATGCAGTCCTGAACTACAATTACTTAACAAGTTCAGTCTAGGTCAGCCTGTTGTTCGGCTAGACAAATGTACACTGTTATTGTGTGGACATTCGGCAAACCCTGAGATCTCTCATGGTAGGAAATATATTCAGTTCTTGACATCGCCCTGAGCAGAGCAAATTTTAAAGAATCTTATTACTTTTTCAAATGTCAAGAAAGCCTCAATTTTCTGCTTAGGTAATTTCTCCATGACGAGTTGCCAAAGCCAGTAAAATTGCCGGAATAATTTATTCTGTTGAAGAAGATTAATTTTAAAAGGAAATTGAAAGGTCATGGAATACAGAGCATTTCAATAGTGTTAGCTACAAGGCATTTAAGGGATTTAAGTTTGAATTTTGATAGATATGTGATTGATAACCAGAATATTCTAGATGCAGTTTTATGTACTGAAACCTGCCTTAGATTCTCATAAAATCTTCTTTATCTTACATTTGTCAATGTATCAATACAATGAAAATTGTATAACATTTTATGTTTAGAATTATGTACTTGCGAGTAAAAATCTTACAATGAAAATTATGCATCATTTTATGTTTAGATTTATATACTTGTGAGTAAAAATCTTACAATGAAAATTATACATAATTTTATGTTTTGATTTATGTACTTGTGAGTAAAAATCTTATCAACAAGATCATACAAATTACAATTATATTTCAAAGTGAACAATGGTCTTAGTCTGTAACTACTTAGTTGACCTTCTTTTAGAAATAGATACGGGAAAGTGTTTTACTGGGATTACGTAGAAGCTGTTACAAAATGTGACTTCTTTACAACAGAATCATGAACTACTTTCCTGTATTGATACACAATAGTTGATTTACATTCATTACCTATTTGATGTCCAGGGGTGCTAATATAATCCTTCCTCGGCCAAACTTCTTAACACATCCACCCCTGAAAACACTTTTGAACTCTTCCAATTCAAAGGTTGGAATAGTTCATTATGAATTTTCAGGGGTGAATGAGTCAATGTTGTCTTATGAATGACTGTTGTTTTATTGAAATACTATCACAGTTATAGTGTTGCTTTTGTGGTGTCGTTATTTTAAAGATTTCCGCAGTAATTTAAATACTACAAATTTATTAACATGGCAAAATGTTCTAGTCAAGTAGCAATCTCGAAGGTGCAAATTCAGAACATAAAAAATCTGTGTTTTTTCATGAAGTAATTAGTTGAAAATACCATCACACAAACTTGATGCTTATCAATACATCTCCTCTGCTTGTTTTCTATTAATTGTTATCAGCAGAGTATCATGTACAGTTTATAAGCAGATCAATCATAATTAAAATACATCTGAAAGCATAACTAATCTGAAAAAACCCAGAGAAAGCTAATCTAACCAACTCTTAGTAGAAGACTAAATTACGGCACATTTTGAAAAATGCTGGGTATCATGCTGCTTCTAACATGTTTTGGGGAGAAGATTGTAAACACGGAGCCATTCGAGTGTTAGTTGTGAATACAGGGGATTTGGGTAGCGGGCCACAGATGTGTTTTTACTTGCTGTTTGTTGGAGGGGTGCGAGTGGCTAGCCGCCAGAGACTGTAGATGTAGGGGCCTCATCAGATGTTCCCAGGGCTTCTCCCGGACTACCAGGAGAGAGTCAGCTGTTTCCATGTTCTTCCACATTTTTATTGGCCAAACCTGCTTTTTACACTGGAGGAAAACTATCCCTCTATACTCCCATGTCAAAAGATCTAGAAGATGTTTTTCTTGATAAATGTTTACATTATAGAGTTAAATCGCAAGATAAAAGACAATTAAATCTGTTGCACATGTATTACAACCGCAATCAATGTTTTTCAAGTCTTTGGAGCAGTTGTCCCTCCAAGTTATTTTTTTTTTTTTTGGCGGGGCTTTAAAGTGGGCACCCTGTTGGCAACTGGGGTTTAGTAAACAAAGCCAGTTCCTTTGAAGTTTAATAGTGATGGGTGGAGATTTACTGCTCTAGGTAGGTTTATTCCACCCACTGAGACCCAACATAAAACTTGGATGTAAATTAAAATCGGTTATTTGGTGTAACTTGAGGTCTTTAATTTCTTCTAATCATGCTTAAGATCGAGTATGTGTATATTTTATTATATTTTTTTAGGTATTTAGTAGAAATACTAGTTGGGTCTTAATCTGAAAACTCCTAACAGCTGCCAGAGTTTTTTCCTGAAATCAGTATGAAAGATTAATTTCTGTCCATATATATATTTATTAATAACATGTAGCTGAAATCAATTTTAACTACCTTTAGTTAATGTCAGCTATGTTATATAATGATTTCTATTACGTAAGTTAGACATAACCTTTTGTGATTGTGATTGTGATTGAGTGAGGTGTTCAGCTGTCAAATCTAGTCGGGACAATAGACCCAAGGCCATAGATTTTAACATTGTTTAACCAATGGGAAGTAGTATTTTCTCATGTTTGTTAAGACGGGACAATTCTATCATCATGGTTATGGATCGAAAGTGAAAGACCTTGGCAAAGACAAGAAAATTATATCATCTTAGTTATGTATTGAAAAGGAAAGACCTTGGCAAAGACAAGAAAATTATATCATCTTAGTTATGTATTGAAAGTGAAAAACCTTGGCAATGTCCTCAATTTTACTCCAAATCATAATGTCTTTGAGTGGAATTTACCTTAATGTCATACACAGGTATTCATTCTCACTTCTACATCAATAATTCTGCACTTTTATAAAAAATGCTTTTGCCATAGTTACAAATTCAGGGCACATTCCTGTCAATATGATTTAATTAACTATTTAAAAATGAAAGTTGTGAAGCTGGAATCGGTTGTTTA